AAAGAAACCAAAGCCAAGCAGGCAGACGGCTTTTGAGTGTGAGTGTGTGTGTGCGTGTGCGTGAGTGGTGCTACTTTTGAAATTCTCTACACCCGCTCTGTACTTCGCGTCTGTTTGAAAGGATGAAATTGTGACCAAAAAGGAGACGAATGGGTATCCAATGAAAAAGTTAATAACTGGTTTAACAAAATGCTAACTGTATTCGAGGCACAAGTGTTTGTAAAAGAGACGCCCGCCGACGCACACACATACACAGGCAGGAAAAAAGGACGCCATGGAAGGCGGCTTAGTGTGCGTGAGCGGTGGAAGAAAGAAAGAAAGAGGCAGTGAGAGAGACTGTGCAAAAGATCATCAAATTTAGTTAAATTAATTTAAAGAGACTCTCCTTTGTTCGAAACCCCCGCCCCCGCAAAAGCCTTGCTTCGAATTTCGCCACTTTGGAGTAGTTGCCTTTTTACGAAATTTTTTGGGTGTGCCGCCTTCAATGCGTCGGCGTTGCCACCACGTCGGCGTCCGCAGCAGCAGCGCGGGCAGCGACGCCGGCAGAGGCAAACACCATGCCGGTGTGGCTTTGTATCCGTTTCGCTCTCGCACTCGCTCTCTCTGTGTGTGCGGCTCAGCCGCTCTCTCCTTGTGACTCTCCTTCGCCTCGCCTCCTTACCCCGCTCTTCGCTCTTGTCCTTTGTGCCATCGCTTCGCCTTGACTTCTGGTTCATTGTCGTTGTCTCCTCTTTGTTTGCATTGTACGCCTGATTACACTTGCCAACATGTTTCTCCTTCTCCGCCAAACATCCTTGTGCAAGGTGCACTTATGTAGCGAGTGTTCACTGTGGCCACTCGATCTTTGCGTGTATGTATGTTGCCGTTCCCCTTTTGCGTCTCAGTTTACTCAGATTATCGATACGAGGATCGTCTTTTCTTTTTGTTTTTCCTACACTTTTGTTGCGAAAAATTGCGTCGCACTTTGTGCAGCGTCAGTTTGTCAGTTAGCCAGTCCGTCAGTCACTCAGTCGTTCAATCGCTCAATCGCAGACGGGCAGACAGCCACCGCCCTAACTGGCGTCGCCTACATGCCTTTGTATGGGTGTGTATGCGTGTGTATGTACTTGCGTGCCTGCCTGCATGTGTATGGGTCCTTTGCGAATGGAGTGGGTGGGCAGAGGCCGAGGAGGAAGAAGAAGAAGAAGCGCAATCACTAGATTTTCGATTGTCAACTGCAATTTAAATTGTTTAGAGGGGGATTTTGCAAACTATTTGCAGCGCGGAACGCAAATTCATTAATCATAACCTTAGAGGATAGTGGGATAATTTTAGTCAGGTCGCCATAAGCAATATAAGTCTGTCGTCTTAAGCAAACTAATCTATTGATGATATGATTACGGATTGCTTGAAATAAATATCTAACTTAAAAGCTTTAGGAATAACAAATTTACCCTAATTTTGATGTTCTGGTATTTTTGATTCAATTGCATGAAATAAGGAAATTATCGTTAAGATATTAGAAAACAAGGGAACTTCCCCAAATAGTTTTATTGTTTAAATGTTGAAAAATGTAATCGTTTTTCACAGCCTTCTCTTGAATTTGTTTTGAAAATTTGTGTCTAGAAGAACAAATTGTACTCATCAAATAAACCTAACACCAAATGTTTATTTATTTGAACAAATTTTAATGTTCAACAGTTCCGTTTAATATTTAATTACAAGAAAATTATTTTGGTTGTGCTATAAAAATAGTTCTGTTTTTTATAATTTGGGTTTTAGAAAATGTGGCACCTTCCGCTCCCCTACATTTTTTGTATTTGGTAAATTCTACGATTTTATGTTTTTAAAAAATTTCCCAAGTGACCTGACCCAGTTTAGGAACTAGAATTTAAAATAACTTGCGAAATAGTACAAGATCCATTCGCAGCTTTTAAATAAGATACGAAAGAAATTTGCATTCCGATTCTAAAGGCGATTGAAACCCGAAGTGTAAACAATTGATTTGTTTCGAGGGAGTTGGCTGCGATTTCAGGTAGTGGTCTCCATGTGAATGTTATCTTTAAAATGCCTGAAGCCAAGGGCTCCATAGAATTCGAGGCGGGTTTCCCTTGAAGTCGACTCGAATTACGTGTACATATTTACCAGTCGTTCACTGGGGACGAATATAATGCCTTTATTGGCGAATTTGTCAACGTTTGCTCAAACGCCAGTAAACATTGCACTGCGATGGGAGGGGCTGAGGGCAAATATACCGTTTCGTCAAGTGCGATTCGCGGTTAACCGGCAGTTCTCGATGCCACATTTGGCCTTAAGGTTTGTCGATTAGGAAGAATTGGTAGAAAACATAGAAATCTATGGAATTTTAACAGAACAAAGTGCCAAAAACCATACCTTTCCTAAAATAATGCTTAACAAAAAGTAAAGTTTGAGATAATTGTTATTTTTAGAGCCCTTTATTGTTATAGAATTTTTGAGAGACAGATTGTACTGTTAGATTTTTCACCTTTTCGTTTCGCAACTTTGGGTAATAGAACTGTACCGTTCTTTACACATTTGGGATTCACTTATTAAAAAGTTTCGATCTACAGGAAGTTTACTTTCCTCGGAAGTTCTATAATTATATTATATTATAGCTACTTCCTGGAATGAAAGTAAAACTTGTGAATTTCAATGTGACCCATCCGATCTAATAAAACTCGGAATTCTCGATCACTCGTTTGGCCTGAAAATAGGTCGATTAGGAAGAATTGGTGGGAAACTTAGAAATCTATAAAATTTCGACACAACTATTTTGAGAGTCTTCTATTGATATGGAATAATTGGGCGATAGAACTGTACCTTAAGGTATTTTGCGTTTGGGTTTCACATTTTTAAAAGTTTCGATCTACAGGAAGTTTACTTCGGAAGTTTCTACACTATAATATTATGTTATAGATACTTCCTGGAATGAAAGTAATACTTGTGTATTTGAACGTAACCCATCCGATCTATTAAATCGCAGAACAAAAACGCGAGTTCCAGTCGAAAAAGGGAGGTCTGCCCGGCCATTTGTGCGAAACATATGAAGCTCAAAGTCCGGAGCTCAATTGGGGAGCATGTGTATGGGTATAAGTAAGCCAAAGTGTTGAGAGGTCCCTTGTCACCGATACGCGATATATGTAGACTCATATGTATTGTGCACACAGAAAGCGAGCGTATTTCTCATTTAATATGCAAACATCTGTGTGAAAGATGTTCGAAGGCTGCTGCTGCTCCGAGTGGAAAATGCTCGCAGATTGAGCAGATTTTCATTTTACGTTTTCTTTTCGAAAAGCCGGAGCGATATTCCCCCCACCATGGGACCACTTGAAGCCACTAATTCCCCAGGAATTCGGTTTGGTTCGGGCACACAAACATAATTGCTGGGGGTGCACATTATTTTTGTTGTTGCTGTTGTTTCTAGAGGCATTTGGCGTGGCGAATGGGCATTGTATTAATGCCAAATCAACAGAAATGTGGAAAATAGAGAAATATGTGTAGTCCGCACTAAAAATCAATCGCAGTAGCCCCAGAAACCAAAATAAACAAATGCGAGCGAGGCGAAGATAAGCGGCCCTGGTTGATCCGATCCAATACGATCCCATCCCGATCGAGAATGTTATTTAAATTCAAGCTCTCGGTGGCGTTCGATTTCGTTGTTGCGGTTTTCTGATTTGCCTTTGTTGTGTGTTGCTTATCAAAGCCGCTGTTTGTTTTAGGTTTCGAAGGTACAGTAAATACAGAACAATTGTTTATAGTAGTCAAAATTATTGGAACTTCTAAGGACAAAGGCATTTTCGCCTACTTTTTGATTATATTGATATTATATAATACGGTTTCTAGAGATAGAGAGTAATACTTTGTGTTCAAAGCAAGAAAATTTAGTTGTTCGAATATTTATTGTATCTCTTTCATTGTACTAATTTCTCTTATAGATCACAATCTTTTTGATTTTAATACTAACTTATGAAAACCTAGTCACCGGGAGTTGTATTGATGTCTGTAGATTTTACTGTGTCTTTTTTCTTTGTAGTAAGATCAAAATTTTTTAGACTGTTTATAAAAACTTTGTGTCTTTGGGAGTTGTTTCGATATCGTACTGTACGTAGCTTTTGAATTTATAAAAGTTTTGAGGGCGTTGTTTCCAAATAGTTTTTTTCGTAACTATTTCGAAACCATCTACGTTTTAAAATTGAACTGTAAGAACTGTTAATACTTTCAGTGCATTGGAAAAGGTACCCAAGTGCATTATGTAGATTTCTATCTATTGGATTTGATCAGTAAGTGTTGTTAATGGGAACTACTTCTATTAGAAGCCAGGGTTCCATTAACCCCGCGACCACAGCAGCGATTTATCTTGAATTGGAGTGGAGTTTGGAGAATGGAGAGTGGAATACCCCCACGAAATGCAATTACTTTCCCATTCGAGGGCGATAATTAAATAACAATACAAGAGTCCCGTTGAATGTTACACCATATATTTCGGTGATTCTTCACGCCTTCTCTTTCTCTTCAGAAAGTGAGTGAGTGCGGCTCCCCCTGCACACACATGTGCACATGGGCATTGTTTATTCCCGCTGCTTTTGCTCATGCTTCTGTTTTTGTTGCTACTGCTGTTGCATGTGGGGTCATTGTGTGAATGGCAGCAAAATAAAGCAATAAAGCATACGCATCGACGCCGCCAAGGCTCATTAGTTTGTTATTGACCAAGGAGTGAGAAGAGGAAGAAGAAGAGGGGGAGGGAGAAGGGGGTGGGGGCACCAGGAGCACGCCTTTATCTTTATCGGCAGCTGACGGTCAATAATAAGTGTATGCATTCATGTGTGAGTATGAGTATGCCCGCATTTCTCTGCTTCTGCTTCTGTCTCTCTGCTTCTTTTGACTCCTCTGCTTCCGGCTGGCGTCGCTGCCGCTGGCTCTGCCTCGGTCGACGTCGCTGCCTCTGCCCCTGTCAACTGCAAGAGAAGTTTCTGCTGCCATTGATCGCGACTCGCTCTCTCAGTCATCGTTTTTCGCTCGACTTTAACGGTTCTCGTGGGGATTTAATTCCAATTCCAGCCTGCAAAACAAAAAGAAAAAGACGCGGAGTGCCAAGCGATTAAACTATTACTCTCACTTGTTAATTGCACAGTTAACACAGTTAGTTTTTGCATCCAGTTAAGAGAGAGACAGAGAAAGGGTAGAAGAGAAAGAAAGAGACCACCCGCGCGGTTGGCAAAAACAGAAAAAGGAAAAATAGTAAGTACCACCGGAAATCGAAGAAAGAGGCAGGCCAAACACCACAAAGGGGTCTGATGAATTATGTATTTAAAAAAAAAAACAAAGATCCATTTACAACAGACACACTTCGAGAGTGCCCACTGTGAATTTCTAATCAGAAAAGCTGTGTGCCGCAGCTCTTTGCGGAAAATGAATGCTAATTGGCCACGCTGCCTAACTTGTTGTTGTTACCACTTTTTAATACACAACTTACAACTGTCGCACGCCTCTCGGAGTTTTAATTAACCGCAACGTTGGAGTGCTGAGTGAGAGGGAGACAGGAGGACAAGGGGAGACCGAAAGAATCAGCAAAGAGAGTTGGAGCTCCAGCAGGAAAAGAGAAGAAAAGCGAACCGGTTTAGTGGGCGCTCTGGTTCTTGTTTTTTTTCTCCTGCTTTCCTCCGATTTACTTTGTGTTCATTTATCCTTTTTTTTTCTCCTACTGAGCCAAGAAAAAGGAGAAGGCGAAGATGAAGAGGAAGAGATGACTGTGCGTGGGCAGGCGACAAATTTATTGGCACTTATTCGCTCATTCCCGCTCTTCCGCCCTTTCTTGTCTATAATGTCTATAGGAACGAAAAAAGGAAGCCCCCAAGCTTTGAATATTCAAATATTTATTGTAATTATTTTCAACACAAGCCCACAGAACAGTTGATTTAAGTGCGCGATCATTTGATACCCTGCGGTGGGGAAGGGTATGTTGAATATGTGTCAAGAATGGGGGGTAACCAAAATAAAGAAAATATTTGAGTAAAACATAGAATCTACCAAAAATATAAAATTTAACAATACTTTATATGTCTGTCTTTAAATTTAGTCTCATAATACCATACCGATATTAATTAAAGGTTATCAAATTTTGATTAAAATTCCAGACATGTAGAAAGTAAAATAATGATAAACTTATCTATCAACCCCAAAAATATAACATTTGTGGGTTCTTTAAGAGTTATCAGAAATAGATAACTTCCAGACAGAATTAGAAAGTAGAAAAAGAACAATAAACTAATCTTCAACCTGAACCATATCTTCCTGAAGTGAAATCTTAACAAAAGTTACCAAAAAGTATTCTTCACCATGAACCCCAGAGAGACCCATCATTGCTACTTGTCTTCCAGATTACACATTGTTGAAATATTTTCAAGTACTATACACACGCAGCCCCCTGGCAACATTTTTCGTATGCCATTTCGGGTTTTGCGCCTTGCAAAAAGTAGTTGGCATACGTCGTAGCCAGCTAGCCATCATATATGTAAATAGAGAACCGTACGTACAAAGACATATCGGACGTTCTCAACGAGCTCATAAAATTTTACGGTTCTTGCTGATGATTTTATGCGTTTTGGGCCTCATTATATTTCGTACAGATGTGTGTGATTCCGATTGTGTGTGGGGCTGTTTTGATAGTTTTTGAATGGCAGACCTAGAGAGGAAGAAGATATTTTCAAGTGCGTCTAATTTTACGATCGATGCCCCCCATACCACCATTTTTCTTTTTCTTTCGCTGCCTTGTTTGCTTGTGTGTGGCGGAGTAACCGAGAATATCTTGAAGATATGATAAAAACCGGCTAGATAAGCCGGTCGTATCTGTATCTGCTGCTGTCAAGTTGTGGAAAACTTGACTGGAGCACGTCTCTACAATGTGTACACTCTGCAAGTTCTTATTTTGTTTGTGGGGCAGGTAATGTTTGCCAAGATCACCGAGACTTGCCAAACATGCTTAATTTCTGGTGAAATATTTCGCCAAAACATACATGGGTGGAACATAATGATCACGTAGTACGATCTCATATCCCCCTCTTTTGAGGGCTGTGCGTAAAAAAATCCCCTGCATTCCGTGAGTCACTTGCGCTGATATGGATTTTCTTTGTTTTCCTATAAGTATTGCACTTATCAATTGAGCAGGCGTTTTCCTGTACACCAAACTTCCCCACTCCCTTCCCTAAAACACGGCTTCCTTTAGTCTTATCGGCATTATTAACACATATATAGAAGAATAGGTTTCTGGGTACCGTTAACAATGATTCTCTTTTTTATTTTTGGCCATGGGAATGTATCCATATCAAAAGTGATTGTAAAGACACACGAAATCAAAGGGAGAGTGAGGTTGTCGGTTGTCAGTAGTCAGTTGTCCAGTCAGAACATTCCGATTCCGAATTGACCGGAAATGATAATTGAAAAAATATTTTCTCTTTTCTTTGGGTCTTGTCAACTTGTGCGTGCGATGATATGTATGTGTGTGTACTTGCTACTAATTATGGAATGCATTCATTTTACGTATCGTATCATTTTCATTATGCCACACAACTCCAGTACAGTATTCGCCGCAGAGCAACAACAATTATATCCGGTGGTTACTTGAGACACCCGATGTTTGCCCTTTACTCGGTTTCGTTCTTTTCTCCTTTTTCTTGCATATTTTGCCTTAGTGGTTTGGAAACTTTGGGTTAAAACTTTGTCCCAGGCCAGATTTGGGCCTGAAAAAAAAAACACTCTAAATCTGAGAGAAGTTTGTCATGAGATTTCTGCATGCAAAGTTGTTTTCCAGACAGACAGATACTTTCTTGATTTCAATATAGCTTATCAGATTGTGGGAATTGATTAGCATGCAATTATAAAAGTGCAGATTTGTTTAACTTTGGATTACTGCCACTATTTATAAGATTGATAAGCAAAAATAGCGTTTTAGTTTTGAAATACGTTCTAGTCAATTGATTGATTTGATAATAAAAGTATGAGTTGCTTTTAAAGATGTGTCTAGAGTCTAGAGTCTAGACAGACTCGTGCGTGTGCATCTAAAACTAGGAATTTATAACCATAAAGTATTCCCTAAACCCAGATAAAAATGGAAAAAGTAATATGCTATAGTTGAAATACAATGTTTATTCAGTAACTCAGTAATGATATTACAAAATGTCATATCAAGTGTATTTTAGTATTCGGTTTTCTATACTAAACACATTTTCCATGTCGTTGGTTCTTTTTATTCGCACGCTTTTTGGGAATCATCTTTATCTTTTTTTAGCCTGCCAATAAGATTGCATCCGCATTGTGTGCCTCTGTGTGTGAGCGTACTTTTGCGTGGGGGGCCTCAACAAGAATGTTTCTTGATGACAATTAAAGTGGACTGCGGAGCACAGTGTATGCGCTCAATAAAGCCAAATGCATCGTCTGATTGCGGCTTAGGCGTGGCTTATCAACAATGCAATGAAAGTGCACTCTGCTTTCTTCTGCTGCTCCTTCTTCGCCGTCTTATTGTTGTTCTCCCACTCGAAACTTGGGACTACTTGAGCCTGATTGAGGGAAACTTTCCACTCAATTGAGAGGAGGATGGCTGGACGGATGGATAGATGGACAGATGGATGGATGTTTGATGTGTGTGAGCGATGCCATTAACGATCTCTCTTGATTAGTTTATAAAAGTTCAATTGCGCTGGTGCGCATGCACTCTCTTCACAGCCATTGTCCCTACCACAAATGGTGAAACTTTTCAATTTTAATTGCACAACAATGTACATTTCATGATGCCACACTGCCACTGATCTTGGAGTTGGAATGGGAATGGTATAGGGGATGGGGATAGGGATGGTATGGAGGGCCTGCGCCTGCGCTTGCGCTTTAACAAGCAAAGCAACAACAGCCAAGCCAGCATCTCTGGCACACACAAATTAATGTTTGACCGGCCGGCCGGCTAGACATTCAGACGGTCATCCAGCCGGCACATTCCAGCACAATCAATTTAATTTACGTATCAAAACGTCTCATCTCTACGTCCCAGGGTAGTGATGGTAGATGGCCAGATGGGTGGATAGAGTTGGAAGGAGGAGAAAGAGCTGTCAGCTTGGCTACTTTCATGCATTATTTACTGAATTTTATTAAATGATCCACTATATCCAATCTATTATACTATACATTTTATACATTTTCCATAAAATGTAATAGATTTTTGTATACAGTATATCACTCAAATCTTCCGTTAAGAAAAGGTAGCGTAAAGAGCATTTATTCTGTATATTACCAATATAAACTAGTTTGTCGAAGACTTCAAGTTAGAAACGCTCAAGTTTAGAGTATTTGAAAGATAAACTGTAGTTGGGGAAAAATATTTTAAAGATGACGATTTAAGTTTGAACCCGCGTTTTAGAACTACCTCTATGTTTTGAGCGATACTTCTGAATCTTGTGTGTCTTACGTATGCTTCAAAACTATGTACTCAACATTTTCCAACTAATGCCTAAATAACCCAATTTTAGTGTCCTAATAGTTTTATACAGACCCGCATGTTCTCTTATCCCTCGATCTATTTGCCAGAATTTTCCAATAGATTTATTTTTCCATTAGTGACTTGACTGCTTTTCTTTGGTCAGCACTATTTGCAGCAGTGTGCAGGAGCTGCAAAGTGATACACAACAGCTTGGAGTGTCAAAATTGATAGGCGGCTGCGTCCGAAAGGGAGGGAATCGGAATGGGATCGGGAATGGGAATGGGAATGGGAATGTGTATGGGAATGGGTATGGCATGAATTGAAGCTCACACTCACGCCTCTTTGTGTTGTTGCTTCTTTTTTCGAACACACTCCATTGTTGATAAATGCGCTTTTATTTATAGACTGCGGCTGCTGTTTTGTGAGCTGCGAGCTGTGAGCTCTACTCTGCCCTGCGTTTTTCTTTGTCGTCCATTGGCTTGACACTTAAAGGGGAGGGGGCTAAGTGAGGGGAGGGCGTGTGAAAGTGGGCGCACATGTCAAATGCCATGTCTAATTGAATTAAAGTAATAAAAAACCAAGACACAAAGGCCCCGAAAAGTGGCGTTGTTGTCCGCCCATTAAGTCATTTTCATAGATTACAAATTTAGACAGGCCCATCCACCCTAGAGTCACTGTCAACCCCCAATTATCAATCTCCCCGCCTCTTGAATCAATTTACAAAACTGCAGTGGCACTTTTTTAATTCGAGTAACAAAACAAATGTTATAAGGTTCTTGAAAATAAAAAGGAAAAAGTGTACTTTAGCTGTTTGAATGATAAAATACTAAGTTTTAAAATTAGGAACCTAGTTTTGTTTGTTAGTTGAATGTTGTTTTTTCATCGATCTGGCAACTCCACATGTCCTAATGCATTGAATTATTTTCGGACCGCACTCAATTATTTTCACACGCCCCACTGCAGAGGGTTGTGGGCAAGGGAGGAGGAGTGGGAGGGGGAGGACCAGGACGAGGAAGTGAAAGAGAAAGAGGGAGAAACAACAGTTGTTGCTAGGTTGGCATGGCGACGTGCAATGACCAGAGACCCGTTAATGTTATTATTGTTGTACTTCCTTGTGAAATGCCGGCAACCCTCGCTCTCTCAAATCCTGCCGCTCTCTTGCTCTCCCTCTCCGCCTCTCTCTCTCCCTCTCTCGATGTCCTTTTCCTTGATGCGTCATGCGCGCCAGTTTACTTGCGCTTTTATGTTATTACCTTTTTGGTCTAAATTCAGTGGGTATAGGGGGTGCTATTCCCACATATTTCGGCCATTACTCATCCAGTTTGGATAGACATAGGCCAGGAATTAATAGCCTCTTTCCATCTCCGCATCGAATATATGTCTCTCTGCCTCTGGCTCCGTTATCACTCCGATCGAAATACATACATAACCGAGGAGCTTCAGTTGGCCCGGTATTGTACGGTACGGTACGGTACGGTTCGGTATAGTATGGTATATGTATGGTATTGTGTTGTCTCGTATTAATTGCTGCGTCGGGTTCGTTGAACCCCCAGAGTCTTGAAACTTGAGGTCTCTTGTCTTGTTACGTATTTAAATTGATATGATGTATTTGTGCCGAGTGCATGAATGTACGCTTTCGGTGCAAAATTAAAGATTTGGGTTCTATTTCTAATTGGAAATCTTATCTTTTGAGGTCTATTTTTAAAGACTGTTGGGTTAGAGTTGAAGACGGAACTTTGGTGAGACGGAATGGGACCTTGGGAACTCTTAAGTCCGTCGCAGAATAGCGCTGTATTAGTAATTTTTGTATTTATCAAATCCAGAAAAGGCTAATCTATTAGAAATATATAATATATATCATAGAAACTGGAACCAAAGTAGCACACCCTCTGTTCTACTGATTCATACCTCTTCGAGGAAACTCCAATATCAGAACGTTTTAATTTACGTCTATCAGTAGGCAGGGAATCATTTATTCGCTTCCTGTCCAAGGTTTGACTCATTTCCACTAACTAGGCAACAATAAGTTGATGGTAATGAGTCACTGATGGATTCCCGGAGAATTCTCAATTTGCATATGGCTCACCACGTGCCGGTGGTGCGTGTGTTTGTGTTGGAAGGTGGAGATGGATGAGGAAGTGAAAGTGGGAGGGGAATGGAGATGGGTCGGATGTGGGAGGCTGTTGATTCACAGGGTCTAGATAAAGCGGTCGAAACAGCTGCTCTTTTCAGCCTTTGTCGTGTGGGTTGCCGCCATTTTTTAACTGCACACGTACGTACACCTTCCCCATTTTATTTGCACTTACAACCCCTAAAAAATGCAAACTTTTTGTTGTGCCCACCTCTCACCGCCCAAAATTTCGTTCTTTGCTACGGTTTCTGTTTCATTCACTCTGGCAAAAATTTTGTGTGTAATTCGATTTTGCTTGAAAATGACGCATTGCATGCTTAAAACCAGCCCCTACCAATCCCACCTTCCCATTTCTGTTTTCTTTGCTGCGGTGTCTGTTTCGTTGTTTCATATAAACTTCCCAGTAAAAAGAAAAAGTGTCGATGAATCATGGGAGGCGCTCGAATTGTTTACGATTACGGCCGTCTGGTTTGGCCGTTACAGTACTTTCTCGGTTATTGGAGACGACAGCTCTAGAATTTTTTAGAAATTAGTTATATTATTTAATAATATCATAATACACAAAACTTTGATTACTTAGTGCAAACTATTGTAATTCCAAAGCCATTTCATCTGAATAACTCTGGTAAAGTAAATATAAACAAACTTAGAAAAGTATTATCTATTGAGAAATATCAATTAACCTTAATATTATAAATTGCTCTCAAGATGATATAGTAGTTTTCATTTCATTTTCTACCGTAGTTCCTTTCTTCATGGGCCAACAAATTCGATTATCATATTTGTTGAGAACTGGTGATATTTTAAAGCCAGTTCATCTCAAGATTTGTGAACTATAACATAGCAAGCTGTATTAATAAACTTCTTAATGCCGTCGTTCTACTTTATCGTAGTTCCTTTCTTCATGGTCTTGCCAATGTGATAAGCTCTCAATGGTTGATGCAATCGAGACAATCCTTAATGAGGTCATCGAATTGCATTGAAAGATCTAGAGTGCGACTCACTGAAAATGTCAATCGCAAAAATAGGAAAAAACACAGTCTAAAAATAAAATGTGCCGCCGTACTTGTGCCATTTCCCACTCTACTACACTGCTTCGCATTTAAACTAATTACTCACTTCTATTCCATCTTTCAGTTTACACTAGCCAACTAAAGGAGGATCAGCCTAAAAGAAAAATGGGTAAAGCTCAGAGCAAGCGTTCAATCGACATCACCACCGATCCCAAGAAGGTCGGCGAGGGCGATGAGGTGGCCGGCAAGGTGGAGAAGATTGATGTGGACCAGAAGACGGACGCACCGGCGGTGAATGGGGATGCTGCCACGCCCAAAGAGGGAGGCGATGAAGCGGCGACAGGAGAGGTAAGTAAAATATTGAAACTAAGAAACGAGATCGATTTGTAATTACCTATGTGTTTTTATCACAGAAAAAGGAAACGGAGGAGCATTCCGAGAACGACAAAGATCTGACCACCGAAAAGAGTGCCGCAGCTGCTGAGGGTGGCGATGCGGCCGCCGTTGAAACTGCCAAGGGCGAGGAGGGCTCCCCCAAGGAGGGCGCCGCTGGCGAGGACATCACCCCGCTGGCCGACGAAAGCATCAAGTCCAAGTCCAAGAAGGACAAGGTCAAAAAGAAGTGGTCCTTCCGCAGCATCTCCTTTGGCAAGAAGGACAAACAGAAGCCGGCCAAGTCGGAGGAGGCTGTCTCGCCTACCTCTGGCACAACGTCGCCCACGACGGCCGAAGCAGAAGCTGCTCCTGCCGCAGATGGTGCTGCCGCGGAGCCAGCGGCTGCCACAAATGGTGAGGCCGACAAGCCAGCTGAGGTAAGTAGATTGGTCGGCAGGACAAATGTCCAAATTAATAACATTATGATTGTATTTTCATCAGAATGCCACTGCCGAGAGCAGCAGCGATGCGGCGTCCAAGGATGAGGCCAAGCCCGCCGAGAACGGATCGGCGAGCGAGCAGGAGAAACAGGCCAACGGAGAAGCCGAGAAGGCGGCGCCAGCACCAGCCACAGTTGTTGAGGAAGCGGCAAAGCCCAAACCCGTCGAGGAACCAGCCACAGTCACTGCCACCGAGTCGAACACCACTGCCACTGCCACCGCCACTGTAACTGCCACCGAAGAAGTTGCCGTGAAAGAGAGTTCCCAGCCAGAGCCCGAAGTGGTTACCAATGGACATGGAGCCGGAGAGGCGCTGACCAATGGATCAAGCAATGGACACGCCGAATCCCCGGTGGCCGAGACCGCACCAGCCGCTGACAACATTCCAAGCAACAACGTTGATGACGAGCAGCCGCACCAGAATGGCACCAATGGCACCACCACGCCCCCGCCCACTCCCGTGGCCGTTGAGACCGAGAAGGGACAGCAAATTGAGGTAAACAACACAGCAAACACAAGAACAGACAGCACCACACAACAACACAACAGCAAAAACTCCACTGTAAATACAAGTACAACAACAACAACTAAAACCACAACTGAAATCACAGAGAACACTGCACTAAAACAAATAAGTACCGAAACAAGCACTGTGACCGAGACCGTTGTAGCAGCCGCAGAGTTAGTTCAGACCCAAACAATCCTAACCAAAACAACCAACACGATCCTTCCCACCTCCCACACGCAGGCCAGCAACGAACTGATTGAAGCAGCAGTAGCAGCAGTGGCAGCAGAGACCACCACCAGCAGCAGCCAGGCGGAGGAGGAAGTTGTGGCGGCGATCATCAAGGCGGTTAGCAGCGAACTAGAAGCCGAAACGGAGACTGAGACGGAGGCCGAGGGATTCGTGGTTGTTGCTCCTGTGTCCACCGAAGTCCAAGTCCCTGTTTCCACTTTACCTGTTGAACCCGTGGTTGAAGTTCCCCAAGTGGAAACCGAATTGGTGGCTCAAGTTCCCGAAGTTGAAATTGAATCCGTGGATCAATCCGTTCCTGAAGCACAAACTGAAGTTCCCGAAGTTGAAGCCGAATCCGTTCTTGTGGAGACTTTGAGCAGCAGTCCGCCGCCTCCATTGCCCAAATCCCCGCCTCCATCTCGCGTCTCCGCCTTTGTCCTGTCCGATGAAGTTATCGAGGAGCAGGTTACCCCAAAAACACCCGAAGTAAACCGCGATGAAATCGAACAGGAAGCCATCAGCATTGTGGCCGAGATTACCGAACAGGCGGCAGAAATTGTCACCGAAAAGGAGAAACAAGAAGAGGATGCCAAGGAGCAGGAAGAAGAGGAGTCTGTTCCTGAAGTAGTTGAGGGGACTGTATCTCTGGTAGAAATTGAGCAGACTGTATCCCCGGTAGAAGTTGAGGAAGTCAAAGCAGTTGAAAGCGAAGAAGTCACGGCTCCCTCTCCAACAGCTGATATTGTACAGGAAACCATTGAAGATCAAGCCACATCCGATGAAGAAGAATCTGTCCCAGTTCCTGCTCCCACTCCCATTGATCCTGCGGATGTAGTTTCCGCTGTTTTGGAAGAGGAAAATATTGCAGTCACGGAATCTGTAGATTCCGAAGTACTGAAGGAAACTATTAGCATCAGCTCCACTGAAGAATTTGCTGATGAGCAGGCGGCAAACGAAAATCAGGCTGAAACCATCCTGTTGGAACAACCAGAACCTGTTGAGGAGGAAATATCGGAGCAAGAAGTCATATCCGAGGATGCGCATAGCGATAACGATAAGGAGAACGAAAACGAAAGCGACCTGGTGGGAAAAATCATTAGCGATCTGGATGCCCCGGTCGCCAAAGCTGGTGTCGATCTTCTGGCAGAGTTGGATGTGAGACCCGCGACGGATCAGGAGGGCGAGAGCAACAACAAGGTGAATAGCAACTGGCAGTGAGTCTGCAACTCCAACTCTTCAAAACACATCGACTTGAACACACCATATTACCATTCTTGCATCTGCCGCTCCATTTTGGTGGGCATGGAGTTTTGTGTCCTGGGCGTGCTTCTCCTGCTTTCTCCAATATCTCTCTCTGTGTGTTTTGTGTGCCTCTCATTCGAATGGCATCAGTAGATCTGCTGCTGGTAGCGCGCTTGTTGCCGTAGTTAATACGTAGTTCGTTAGTGTTTGATATTGATTGAATTGCTCGGGGATTGCATGATACTTTGGGTGATGTGATGTAAAGCGAATGAAGTACGTACTACTAAACTGAGGATAAGCGACTGCATTTTGGTGTATTAACCACAACCACAACCAACCAAGCCCATAAAACACAACTTAAACCGCATTCATCCTAATCCACACACATGCACACAAAAATACAAAACATAAAATATAGATACAACAGAAAATTATACCCCAAATCCCATCTACCAACGCTCTGTCCTAACCCAAAATCTCTGTTTGGCTGTCGTAACTCTTGCGCTCTCACTAAAACCAAAGACCATAAATACACAACTGTACCACACCTTAATGTTGAAAACACACACACAAATCGCTTATTATTAAGTACATTATTTTGTATACCATCTTAATTTGTTTTTTGCGCTGGCAATTGTCGCGTCTTTTCTTTATTTCCCCCTAATTGTTGTTGTTGTGCTTTCAGTTTTCGATAAATATTTTTTTTGGCATACAACATGGAATATAATGATCTAAAACCAGTTAGTAATACATACTTTCCATTGTCTTCCACAGGTGGATCTCGCCAAGGATCTGAAGGAGAAGAATGCCGCGGCAGACGTTACAACACAGGAACAACTGCCCGTTACATGCGAATAATCCTACTCATAATTATTATATATAATATTACATATTATTAAAAAACAAAAACAAAACAACAAACGATACAAGCAACAACAAAAGAACGCAACGTAAAACAACAAACAATTACAAGATAAACGAGATAAAAACAAAAGAAAACAAAACAAAAAACAAGTAAAAAATACATTTTTAAACATTTACATATTTTAAATACTTTTTGTACGAACTTCATATCCCTTAATCCAAGATATACGCAAGCGAAAAGTCAGAGTTACATCCACACTACCACTGCAACCACCACACCCCACTCAAACACCACCCACGCGTGGCATCAATAGTTTTGTATTGGTGCCCCTGAATTCCAGATCGGGGAAGTCCCCCAAAAAACACATCCATCACCCATCAAGCACACACATCCACCACACATGCGCATACATACCATTCTCATATTGATGATCTTGATAGAAACAAAAAAAAAAAGAATCAACAAATCATATACGATGAAAAGATGAAAGTGAGGAGAATTTTTTGAATAATTTCTACTATACATTTAACTGTAAGTTCGAAGAAATTTGTAAAGAATTTTTGGACGAAATATTGGATAAAATATATATTATAAAATATAAAACCCAAAAGCGTGCTTCACTCATATCCACCGGCTGAAAAAAAACAAACACAGAGATACGAAGATACGAACCGCAGAAAGGAAACACTGTTTTCAAAGTTTTAGTTCTGTTTTCGAGTCGAGTCCCAATCCTCTTCTTTAATACACTACAAAAAATAGTTTTTCTTTACAATATACATGATGTAACCGAGTGTTACAAAAAATAATAATCACTTGTCCTGGTAAACTGGAGTAAGCGCTAAGATTATGTTCTAAGTACGTTCTTAATATTTCGTAAATGGTTAATTTAACGTAACAAAATGTTACTACAAAACAAACTACAAAAGCTCCAACGAAAGCTTCAAAAGCGAAACAAACGAAACTAAGAAATGATAAAGAAAAGCAAATACTAATTGTGCGTCTTTTGCAACTAAATAGAAAATCCTACTAAGTACACTAAATGTATTCAATAAATTAAAGCGTTTACTTTACGCTGCGCAACGTAAAGAGTGTTGGTCACAAAGAATTTGCCAACCAACAAAAAAAAAAAGAGAGTCGTATATAGGCGAAACCAAAATTGTTTCCAAATCAAATCTAAATCGAGTGGAGGACCTCTCCTGGAGGATTCTCCCTCAACAAGTGACAAAAAAGCGCTGCTTGTGCAGGTGTAGTTGCTGCTGCTTCCGGCGATAGTCCGGCACATTGCGGAGCATGAAGACGGCTGCGAAGAGCACGTAGAGCGAGGAGAGCATGATGAGCACGGGGAAGGAGAAGACGATGTGCGCCATCCGGACCTTTCGCTGCACCGTTGAAGGCGTGTAGACGTAGTCACCTGCAAAAGGATCAAGATCATATTAGATGTAAGGCTAAAAACGACTTCTGGGGATGGGTATACAGCTAAAAACCCTAGGTCAAGCGATAGTAATCAATATGTTAGGAAAGCTAAGGCACACACAAAAAACTATTGGGTCGAATTGAACAATATAATAGTTAAATTGTCAAAATTACTATTTTATGGTAGTTTTACTGATAAATAGTAACCAAAGCAACAATAATTTTGAATAGTTTTTAACCTTTCTTATAGTAACATAAATATCCGTAATATTCTGAATAGTTATTAACCTTTTTTGTATAGTTACGTTACTATCCGTACTGGTTAATTTTACAGTTACCTTGTTTTTGTATGCAGGATTATATATCCTTAAAATATGGTATTACTATTGAATAGTAACCAAAGCAAATGCAAAATTCACATCACTATTTTAAATAGTGGTTAACCTTTTCTTATAGTAACTATCTGTATTGGTCAATTTTATCCATAACTTTTTTTGTGTGCAAGGTATCCTTAAAGGATTGTATAAGGTTGTACACTCACCATTCCAGCTCTTGTAGGCGCACCTCTCGCCATCGTAGTCGTTCACGCAGAGGCAGGAGTGGAAGACCGTGTTGTTGACCATCGGATGCTGGAAGCAGTGGCCGCCGTTCAGGCAGAAACTGGTGTTGTAGGCCTCGCTGCAGGGCAGCATCTGAATCTCGGTTTCCTTGTTCAGCGGGATGGGTGTGCTGGATACGGTCGGTTGACTGGATGAGCTCTGGTCAGGTGGCGGTTCTCCTGTGTGCGTGACGGTTTCGGGTGTTGTAACCGTTTCGGAGGCGGCGATGGGTGTACTACTATCGCTGATCAACCAGGATGCAGTGCTAGATTCGAGGGCATCCGTTTCCTCGGCAGGATCCATGGCCTCCGAGTCGGCGTCCTCCTCCACAATTGGCTGTTGGGTTTCCGTTTCCTCGTTGGGATCCGTTTCGGGACGCATCTGCTCTGCCGCCTCCTCCTGGGCAGAATTCTCCAACTGCTTGCGCTGCAGCTCCAGACGATTGAGCAGCTCAACCGCAGTCTCCTGGATCTGCTGCTGCAGCTCGTGTGCATGCTCGTGCATGTGGCTGTGCTGATGCTGCACAATTTTCAGCGTATGCTCTCGGAGCAGTAAGATCCGGCTCGAACAACAATCTGGGGGATTCAAAAGAATGTTTTTGGGATAAAGAGAATCCTTAATGAACACAAAGAAAAAATTGAATGAAATATCGAAATGCGCAATAAAACCACCAGCTGATCTACTAACGAATAAACTTTTATAAACATGTATTTTTGAGCTACATATAAAATGTTTTCTGCTTATTTGTACGTGTTTTTTTATTTTCAAAATATTAAAATACAAGAATGAGTAAAATCAAAATCTTGGAAAATGATTTTTTTAACCATTGTTTTAAAAAAGCTTTGTTCTGGAAAATTTTTAATCTGATAACCTAAACAGATATCTTATTGATTTTTGAAAAATGAATTGTTGATCCAGCATCAAAAGATCACGTAAATTAATATTGTGAATTTGGAAAATCAATATTTTGACTTTTTTCCCGCCAGAAATACATAGATTTTTTGTTTGAGAACTTGGCAATCCTTTCCTGGCTTTTTCTTTACTGTTTAGAATTCTTTAGGATTTAGGTGGGGGAACTTACTTGTAACGACGACAATTGTTGACAGCACGAAAATTACTTCGAATATCCGAGTAAATGGGATTTGCATCTTTGGAAAACGCTTGTTTGGCGTTCCGAAAAAAAATCGGGTGGGTGGACCGATTGTCCACCTCTAGGAGAACTGAGTCAATGGACAGGGGCGAAAACGATCTAGGGATCGAGCGGCGTGCTGGCCGCAAATGCAATTTGGCGTCGCAACAGAAGCAGATACATACTACACACTTGCATCTCCTTGTGGATTTTACTGCAAAATAAAAATAGAACATTTTAGCGCCTCCACATTTTCTGTCACACGAACGCACGCACACACAAAAAACAAAATAGCACTAAAATTTGGTGATCCAAAAGCTTATTATAGAATATTTTCAGACATACTGGAGCAGTAATGTCGCCCGGGAAAGGCTTCGACATTATAATTATTATAATGACTCGTGAATCATTATATATAAATTGAGATAATTAATTAGTTAAACTTAGTGAGCAGCAAGCGCGGGAAGCGGGCTCCTCTCTGCTCTACTTTGATCTTAGGTCTTGTTGCGCGCACGTCGGGAAAGAGACTGAGGAAAACAGAGCTAGAGAAACAGATGGATCCCATCGCATGCGCCATGCCAAGAATATGAATGAAATCGGGGAGAACGAGCGGGGAGACCGAAGAGAGCGCCCCCGAAGAGATGCAATTACATCCAGAAGAATAGGTGGATATGCAAAGAGCTTAAAGTATGGATATTAACAGTTATTGGATTTAACTGCCCTTCCCTTTTCGCTCTTTCTGTTGCATACTTATAGGGCAAGATAATGGGTAATCTTACAAATCTACAATATCTCTTTCTCTTAATGTTTAGCATTATAGAAAAGATAGAAAAACATGTCCCACACATTGGATTCAACTGCCCTTCCCTTATGCATCCCTATAGATCAAGATAATAGCTAAATCTTACTAATCGTAGGATCATTGAAAAGATAGATGTTTAAATCCATTAATAGTAAGGAATTGATTTGATGGACCTTTTGAGTCATCCACTTTACGGCAAAACCATGCCTATTTTCGATTTATGGTTTGTTTTATATCTTTATCAAGTCTACAATTCAAAGGTATTTTGTTGAAAAGTAAGGAAAATATGATATACATTTCTTTAGATAACTTTGCTTTCTTTCAATATTTGGTACAGCTTAACTACGTGTTATGTCTTTCTAGCCATAAATAATAAAACTTATTTTTTGAAAATTAATTTAGTTAATTTATTGCTTAATTGTATGCTTCTTAAAAAGAACAAGAGACTAAATAGATATCGACTAATATCCCAGTAGAATTTGAACTATTACGCGCACTTGATAAAAAATAAATTCAAAACTATGGCAACTAGCCACTAGGTTTGTGGCTCCAGGGGAGAAACACCCAGGTGAGTGTTTCCTAGGAAGTCCAGATCGGCGCATTGGCGAATGACACGTCCAATGTCCTGCGGCTGCAGACACAGTGGAGCATTGGCCACTGCCAGAGGTAGATGTTCCAAGGACTCCTGCTGCAGCTTGGCCGCCAAGGAACGGCGCACCAATCTTTCGACAAAAGTGCACAGCACCTGGCCGAGCACGGCGAGGGCCACTGGCTGAGAAACGCCTGGCGAAGATTCCTCCGGCTCCAGAGAGATATTGATGTCCTTGCACATTTCCTGAACCAACTGCAAGGCCGTATCCAACTGCTTCGGTGGAGGTAGATAGAGCAGTTGGCGATTGTTCACCACTTGGAGGGATCTACTTCTTAACCGATTGCCTCTGGAGGCCTGCGAATGAGGTTTGTCCACGCCCAGCACATCGATGAACTCCTTATCCCGCATCCTTTGATCGTGTCCAAGCAGCCGTTCCGTTTGCCTGGCTATCCAGGCATTCAGCCGATTGCCTGAGCTGAGACTGGAGTAAGCCGAGAGCTGCGGCTGGGGCTCGCCCTTGAGCTGCGCCTGCACCCGCTGAGCAAGTTGCTCCTCGACCGCCAATTTCGGTTTCCTCTTCTTGTCCACGCTGGGTAAAACCACTTTGAGAGGCGGCGTGTAGCCATGGACCCTGGCGAATGCCACTATCTCCCGCAAACTCCAGTAGTGTTCCTTCCCGCTGATGTCCAGCTGCTGCAGCTTGTGGTGCTGCATCAGACAGCGACGCAGGAGTCGTGCCCGCAAGTACTCAAAACAGCGTTGCTTGAGTGCAGTTAACTTGTGGAATTCCTCGAGCGTTGTACATGTAAAAGGGTACTCCTTCTTTTGATCGATTGCTGTTAGCGGCAGGCGACGCAGGAGGAACTCAACCGCACTGCGCATATTTCGAAAGTGGGCACTGCCAAAGATCTGCTCCAGCCTTCGCGGTCGCGTCTGCAAAGGCGTTTCCATAACTGCAGGCGCTATATATGAGACCATGGGCCTTTCCTCTATCTCGCCACTCATGTTGGCATAACCATGATCATGCTGCATGCATTGCAGCATATGCCACCGCGTTAACGAGGGCGG